CAAAAGAAAGTCCACCTATCCAGCACCCACATATCCATCACATGGTCCAATCAGGCACCGTCCCAACTGGAGATGCCTCCCACTAAAACCATTCCAGGTGCAGGGCAAGATGTCCCTGACTCTTTGAGAAAGGAATGTTATTATGACTATATATCTCCCATACTCCATATAATCCCCCCTCCCATTTTCCCCACAGCATTGAATATGGCAGGCCTGAAGGCCCAATGCAAAAGATGGTTTCCAGGCCTGACAGACTGCACCTTCGTCTGCAGAAACATTCCTTTCCATGTGGCCTTAGATCAAAGATCTAAAGCTGATGACTGGAATAGGGAATAGACAGCAAAGCTTATCAGGAGACATTGAAAAAAATATATCTCATGATCAAGAGTTTGCTGAGGGCATGGGCTGGCAAAAGCCCTTTTTTTTCCAAAGTTGGCTAGTGCTAATTCATATTTATTATATTGTGTGCATATGTATGTATGTGTGGGTATATATATATCAGATGCATATTATGAACTGTTAAGTATAGAAAGAGTCATTAAATCTGAAAGTTGTGGATTTGTAGTGTTGCGGTTAACACATTTGGGAAGGAAGCCATCCTTGGCATATGGACTTACACAAGGTGATACTTGACTTGGAAATGATGATTTATGTCTTCTGTGAGTTAAGCCAAATAACTGGGAGAGACTTATAAATCTGGCTTGTTTCCCCACTTCACATAAATTGCCTCTCTCAAACAGCAAACATATCTTTCTGTAATATAAATGATCTTTTAGTAAATAATAGGAGTCATATTTCATGTGCTATATGCATTTATATATTAATCCTAGTAGACCTTCAGCCTATTAGCCAGACTGCCTCCTTTGAGCCTGTTAATGCTCTAGCATAGAAATAAGCCACACACTCATTAGTATGTTATTCATACTATTTATTTCTACATACTTGTTTATTAATGTATTTTTAGTTTTCCCATCACCCTAAGGATCTCAAAGTGGATTACAAGCTATAAAATGCATAAGATAAAACAATAAATGAGCCAGACAAAAATATGCAATTCCATAAGCTAATATATTCGTCCATTTTGGATATCAATGTATTCTAAATTGTTAATTTTGAATGTCTCTTATCCCAAATCGTGCTCTTTTCAGACAATGAGAATTTCCACATTTTGAATAATGGGTGAAGCTTTCTTCATAGGGATGGGGAAAGGAGCTTATGGGCACTTGGTATTAATGAATGCAAGGCCTCTGAGTTGTTGGTATACTCTCAAGAATTCCTGCATGATATACTGGGACTTCCTTCTCTCTATCCATTTACTATACTGTATATCCAGTAGCAATTGCAGACAATATGTCAGCCTTATGAAGTAGACCAGATAGGAAACATGACCAGATCAGCCAATTTTATTTCATTTTATTGTAAAGCTGCATTAAAATGAAAATACAATTCTCCCCTCCCCCACCCAAGTTCCTTAGCCTGAGAAACTCTCCAGTTGTGGGCCCACTATCCAGCCTCAGTATGTCGTTTCTTACTTGGCCAGACCCTTGCCAGTGTCACTTTGCCCAGTTTCCCAGTTTTTCCCCACATAGTGGGGGGCATATATGCTTCCTGGAAGGGAAAAGAACAACAACAGCCCAAGGAAGTATGTGGAGAGGAATATGCCCCCTCTGCTTCTTTAAATTACAGAAACTGTATCTCAGAACCCTAGATGATGGGGATCAAAGGACACAGGACCTTCCATTCACCTCTGACTAAGCATTGTTACAAATGGGATAAAAAAACCAGATGGATCTTGGATGATGCAGGAAGGCTGCTCTTGTTTGCCCTTACCCAAATCCATCTTTCATCTTCAACTTCCTTCAAAATATAAATTAAAATGTTGCAAGGCTCTTTAGATGTAGCAACAGGAAATGAACTAGAAAGAAACAAATGTCTAGTTTATCTTTATTGTGTTGTTTTACGTTTTCCAAAATGTAACTTTGACAATCTCTGATTTTCTGCTTCAGGTTGCCCAAGGACAAGAAAGCAAAGGACCTTCTGAGGTGGCTTTGCAGTTGACAGAGTTGGGGAAGAACCTTGAAAAATCAACCAAAGTGCCTTTGCAGCAGCCCGCAGTGGACATCCAAGCACAAGATTCTCAAGAGGGTCCACCAAGCCCCTTGAGTGAAGCCTCCAGTGGATATTTCTCTCACAGTGTTTCTACAGCAACCCTTTCTGAAGCACTTGCAGCAGGAAACGACCCCCATCTTCAGCCCAGTAGTCAGACCTCCACCACAAATGATGCCCCCCCAATTTCAACAACCCCTAAAGTGGTGTCTTCAACAGATGGTCCTATAAAATCATGTTCTGATTTAGCTTCTCAAGGTTGCCGTTCTCTTCCAAAGAGAGATCCTGTTCTCCCTTGCCTTAAAGACGATCAAATTGACAAGGACAATGTGAAAGGGAGCCATAATGGCAACTTAAAATCAAGATCGGTTGATTCTGCCATTGCTCTAAATGACGATCAGGTTTCTCCCTCCCTAGTTACTGAGGATACACATTGCTGTTCTAGCTCTCCTAATAAGAAACAAATACAATTGACACAGACAACTGTCTTATTACCATCAGAGAGCCCTCCTTCTGTCCCAAAGGAGGCTCCCATTTATAAAACAGGACTTTCAAAGTCTCAGGCTATGGTTGACCTGTCATCTTCCAGCACTACAACCTCTCCCTTCAAAATCCAAAGAGTACGAACATCAGAACTCAAGTCATTCTCCAGCATGTTGAGTGGGGATCCAGGAGTTTCTTTGGGTTCAGAGGAAGAAAAGAGCAGACAGAATTCAGAAGATTCAGACCAGAACAATAGTATAGATGCTGGTTCTGAAGAGAAATTGGATGCAGCAGCCTCTGACTCAGAGGAAACCAATGAAATCCCAGATTGGCTGAAAGAAGGTGAATATGTAACTGTTGGCACGAATAAAATGGGCATCGTGAGATATGTTGGTCCAACAGACTTCCAGGAGGGAACCTGGATTGGAGTCGAGTTGGATTTGCCATTAGGTAAGTGTTGAGAAATGTTTTGGGGCGCAGTAAGGTGTACAGCATGGCTGGTCAATGTCACATCATGTGACGTATCACAGCATTTGTTTCCTGCACATGATGCATCCAGCCCGCGGACCACCAGTTTGACAGCCCTGGTGTACAGGTTGTGGCTGGCTTTGGTAGTTGTTTTTGTTTCCCTCAATCCACGAACAATTCCCTCAGACCTTTATCTCTTATTGAAGTCTGCCTAGTTTCTTTCACTGTTCCCCAGTGTAAGTCAGCCATCCATAGAAATTTTTCTTAAGGCAATCTAGAGCAGTGCAGATGGAAAAAGTCACCAGTATGGTGAGCCTTTCTCCTTAATGTGCAGTATTGTTTGAAATTCTGCCACCTTCCACTTGGATTGATCTCTAGTGAGGAATCCGCCTTCATTCAGATACAGTTCCTTCAACCAGAGTGATTGGAAATAGGATGACCCATCCAGAGCACAAATGGAAATCTGGCTGATGGTAAAGGGTTTCTTTTCTGAGTGGCAGAACCCATATTTTGCATCCACAAGATTTATGGATGGGTTCACTTTGCCTGGTCCAGTTTACAACATCTTCCATTTAAAAGATTGCCATTGTGGAAAGTGCCTGGTGAATTAGTGATAGTAGGCAGAAGAGGCCAATAGTGGGCAGCTTCATATGACCAGAAGTTCTGATTGTGAAAGTGGAACTCCATCAGGCTTAACTTTGTATTTTGAATAGGCAAAGAAAGCTTGAAAACATGATGCTATATTTGAATTTATTATACACACACACACACACACACACACACACACACACACACACAC